GGCACCAAAGAGAAAAGGGTTGGGCAATAAAAGTTTATTGTCATTTCCAAAGCATGACTCACTCAAATATTGAATTGACTAAAAAGCAATGTCAACAGTCATATGTCAACACAATATGCCAAATCAATCTGAGTTACTATATCTCGATCATTTTCTGATTTATCAGGAGGCAAATGGTGTCTCCAAAGAAAGTATATGTGCAGACTTTAGACTGCAGAAAATTGCACAAACAGTTATCAAACTCATGTCACAGAAGTGGTAAAGGACATATGTGTATCGGACAACTAAATGGTGTCCTTTTGTAAAGTCTTTGGCCTGCAGGGGTGGGTATTTATTGTTTAATTGGCATTTGATAGTTTTCGCTGAGAGTGTGTTTTTCATTTTTCAATAATTAAACTGACATGTTTTGAAAAACGTTATTTACAAGCAGAATGCAAAAATTTGACCAGCAAATAGTTTGCGCAATTTATTCATTTCAATATTTATTCTACGATTCGATAAAATGCAAATAAGGTTGTATGTTTAAATATATTATATAATAACTAGCTGGCTAAATATAATGATACAATGAGTTTTTAAGTCTTGGACACACGATGCCATTCTGCCAAAGCACGCTGTACTATATCCTGTTTCAGTTGTGGAAAATGATCTTGATAAGCTTTCAGAATTTCTTCATCAGATTTCAAGACGGTCGTCACCATTTCTCCAGTTTCTTTCTCGATCATCAGCTTGTTGTTCGCGATGACAACAGCACGTTTCCCTGGAAACCAAAGCGCGCGGGGCGATGACGTGAAGGGCGTAAGATAGATGCTCGCTTTGAAGTGCTCATTGCTGAGGATATCTGAGGGCTTTATTTCTGGCACGAATGAATAAAACCGCCTCCAGCGACCGATAAATAAATCAAGGCCTTCCACTGGTGGGCTATTTGGCTTCACCATATCCCCTTTGCCGTGCATTCTTAGTATTTTCCCCTCATGCCGGACATATTTGTACTCCAAAAAGCCATCTTTGAAAATTGGGGACTCTTCGGTGAAATCTAACGAAACTGTGCGAAATATTGGGAAGCCTGTGCCACAATCTGCCAAGTAAAGATCGCCATCTTGCTCAAGGCCTCTTATCAGTACGATTGCGTGATTCTCCGGGGATGTAACTGTCGAAGTTACTGTAGAGCGAGCCAGGCATGCATCGAACCCTACACCTTTTAACACACCCCATGTGAATGTGTTCATCTCGTAACACAGCCCACCAATTCCTAGAAAAAGAACGATAACAACATTTTTATTCGCAAGAACAAGTGGATTGATGAATGAGTTATTTAATGTCGAGTGCACCAGGAGCGGGGATCTAGCCTCATCTGCAAGGAGGGGTGCAGGTTTTCCATGGGGTGGTGCACGAAGGAGCCTTACTGCCGACTCTCCTTGGCTTTGCAGTCTGCAACGCCAGTATCCCAAAATTACCATTATTTAACGTCACGGTCGAATCTGCATGTTCGCCGTTCTGTTACATTTTGCATTATTTTTTGTTTATAAAGCTTTTATCACATATGCGTGACTGGACAATTGTTGTAGCATAGTACAGTAAATTTGCTTGTTCTGTATAACAACCTCGACATGTTTACATATTTAACCATATGATATTTAACTAAAGCTGCATTCTGAGTATTTTCTAGTGAGCCCGCAATCGACATGCGCTAAAAGTGAAGCACAGGCGGCCCAATCTCGCAAGGGTCAGTATAGACTTAATATAGTATAAATGTATATTATATTAATGTATATTATAGTAAAAATATGTCATAAAATATAGATTTTAAAATAAAATTGACTTGCCTATTTGATAGTGTGTGTTCTCCTTTTATTCCTCATTTGTTGGACTAATATTTTCCGAGACTTTGTACTCGATGTTACTAGTATACATGAAACATGATAAAGGCTAACCATTCCCGATCGTCGATACGACGGCACGGCACTTCGAATCGAAAATTTTCACACTCAAATCGCTTTATTCTCCAAAAAAATTCGCCAGCATGTACAACAAATGCCGTTCTTCGAAAATACGGAGGTACTTCGGCGAGATGTACAAGTTTTCGACCATATTTTAACAATGGAAATCAAAACCCATTTTATATTGAACTTGCCCAGGCCGAAAATTACTACGGCGAACGTCTGCGCAACCAGGCCTTCTTTACCGTTGGATTTACAGGGGGGAGGATGCCACTAATATATTCACGATAATATTTCGAATTAAAGTATCATATTCTACCATGCTTTCCAACAAAGAGCCGCTGTATATTACTTCTTCCTTAAATTTCTTCAATCTCCGTCGTTTAGTTTTCTTTTCTTCGACAACATCTCGAGTTTTATACAGTATCCGATCGAAGGAGTTTTTATTTTGAATATCAAATTTCAAATAATGTAAACAGTCGCTATCGCGGCCGCGATTGGCTGGCTGTTACCGGAAATATCTGCTTCCCCCCCTGTAAATCCAACGGTAAAGAAGGCCTGGTTGCGCAGACGTTCGCCGTAGTAATTTTCGGCCTGGGCAAGTTCAATAGAAAATGTGTTTTGATTTCCATTGTTAAAATATGGTCCAAAACTTGTACATCTCGCCGAAGTACCTCCGTATTTTCGAAGAACGGCATTTGTTGTACATGCTGGCGAATTATTTTGGAGAATAAAGCGATTTGAGTGTGAAAATTTTCGATTCGAAGTGCCGTGCCGTCGTATCGACGATCGGGAATGGTTAGCCTTTATCATGTTTCATGTATACTAGTAACATCGAGTACAAAGTCTTGGAAAATATTAGTCCAACAAAGGAGGAATAAAAGGAGAACACACACTATCAAATAGGCAAGTCAATTTTATTTTAAAATTTATATTTTATGACATATTTTTACTATAATACAGGCATTACTATAATATTCATTTATACTATAAGTCTATACTGACCCTTGCGAGATTGGGCCGCCTGTGAGTGAAGTTCTGCTAATCGCTATTCGAAAAGCAGAAAATGTAAGGTCAAGCAGATTGTGTTACCGGTGTGAAATCTCGAATGAGAAATTACAAATGTTTGCACCTGTTGTGCATCTTGCTTTAATATCTTCAAAAGAAGGTCGGTTGCGATCTTCTGGTCTAGCTGCTACCAACGAGATGCTCTGAAAAGGAACCTTCGCTAGGATCTGAGTGACTATTTCATCTGCAAGGTTTTTTCGATCAGTTTTCATTCTTTTGAGCACGTTTTTAATCTTCCATGAATTCTGAAGAAATTCCAAGGCCTCTTCCCGTGTAAACATATCTTTCTGCGTTTTGGACATTTTTTTTTCAATTTCTGGAGAAGGAAAGAAATATGGTTATATATAGGGCGTATTTTTCCATTTACTGAGCTAGCGAAAAAAATCATTAAAAGACATTAAAAATGTAACTAACTTTATTCACACTGAATATAGCTCTACAGTTCTAAAATGTTATGTTCTTCCTGAATATATATATGAAAGTGAAACGTACCTCTGGAGAAAGCCGAGCAACTTTGGTCTGTGCGTGTCGCGATAAAATCAGGAAACAGCACGAATTGCGAAGTAATGATACAGTTTCTTTGAAAACGCTTATTTATATACCCGCTATGCAACATGTATTTTTTTCACCTGTCTTGAACGTGTACTTGGCAAATAAATTGCGCGTTTTTTTAACTACAGAAGCAATATAACTGCCATGTTCCATTTCAATCAAAGATATGATATTTGGACTTGTAATTTTCACTACATTCGCTCGATATTATAACCTGTCCAAAATAATTATTGCTCTACAAACTTAACTTCATTGTTTAAGTAACTGATTTAAATATCGATATAATACAAATTATCTTACATCTTGAATTAATAGAGTTCTTTACAATTTTTATGACGCGTCCAGTTCTAATGTTAATGAGTAACTCGCATGTTTGAAAAATTTGGTCAAAAAACGTCTACTTCGGCAAACGATATTCGGACGACTTTAGTTGTCTTTTTCTTTTACAAATCTTAGGGATCGCGCGGTCATTATTATGGCGGGGGTGGCACCGAAGAGAAAAGGGTTGGGTAATAAAAATTTATTGTCATTTCCAAAGCACGAGTCAAATATTGAATTGACTATAAAAAGCAAATGTCAACAGTCACATGACAATAGAATATATAAATCAATCAATCAGAGTCACTATCTTGATCATTTTCCGATTTGTCAGGAGGCAAATGGTGTCTCCAAAGAAAGTACATGTGCAGACAACATGAAACTTAGACTGCAGAAAATTGCGCAAGTTAACATCTACTTCGGCAAACGATATATTCGGATGAGTTTAGTTTTTACGATGTTTGGACGAGTTTGTCTTTTTAGTCTTTCTAGTTTTACAAATGTTATAGTCATATTATAAAACAATTATTTATAAAACTCAACTCTTCCTAAAGAAAAAAACACTGAGCTTCTTTTAAGGCACCTGGGTTTTTTGTTATCTTAATAATGCAGTCTTAGCCTATATACTGCATGCATGTCGGTCTACATCACAAGGAATATATATTAGTTGCTTTTTCTGCCGAAAAAATGGCAAAACAGCTGCTTAATTTCTGTTTTATTCCCGGCACAATATAATGAAAAAAATAATGCATCTTCAAGGTGTACGGTAAAATGAAAAATTAAATTACTTTGAAACAAGATTGCATGTGACATTTAAGAAAGCTTTGGATTGATAGGGATACAACTACCCGCAAAAATACAAGAACATCGAAGTTCTCCTTGTATTTTTCAGGTAGTTAAATCTCTATCAATGGCACGTACATGCATATATCGTTAAAGAGTGTAACATTTAAGGCCATTTAGCTCAGAATATCATGCACATATATGACATTACGTTTTCATTAGCTATATACTGAAACATATTATGTAGACTATATTAAGTATAACACAGTTTAATAAATCGAAAACGACTTTACGTTTTCAAGCTATATTTTGCACCATTAAAGAGTGCAACATTTAATATCATGCATATATATGACATATTACGTTTTCAAGCTATCAGGGGCGTAGGAACCGGGGGGACAGGCCCCCAAGTTTTGGCAAGTGCCCTTTTTCTGGGAGCAAAGTGCCCTTTTTTTGCGTGAAAAATTTTCATTAAAATTGCAATTTTTTGGTATGTCCGGAAAAATGTTTTCGTATTTCGGAAACTGATGTGGTATATCCGGAAAATTTTTTTTGGTATGTCTGGAAAATTTTTATGAGATGACCTCCCCCCCGTCGCCAACATTTCCGGAAAAAATTTTTAGATGCCCTTTTTTTTCCGAAAAATTTGGGGGAGAGGGGGGGGGTGAAAAATTTTTTTCCGGACTTAAAAATTTTTTCAGGACAAAGAAAAAAAGGGATCAAAAAAATTTTTCCGCACTAACATCAGTTCATTTTCAAACACATTTTCCCTCAAAAAATCCTCTTAAAACATGATTAAGACACTTTTTTGCACCAATATCCACTACATTTAGGTTTAGAAAATTTTTTCTCACACCATTACTTAATATACAGGGTGTATAAAAAAAACTAAGGTAATCGAACTTCAGCGCGCTATTGTATCTGAATTACTCTGCGTATGAACGAGATTTTTTCACATTCGGAAAGATCATGCTTTTAGCTGTTGAATGATATTTTCTTCATGCCAAATGGATAAAAAATGAGCAAATACGAATCCGAAAAAAAATGTTAGTCAGAATCGCATATTTTCACCGTTGAGAGTTGGGTCTAAAACCATTGAAAATGAACCCCCTTTGGTACTTAAGTTGATGAATTTCACTTCATTAAACTACGCACATATTCATAATTAATTATTAAGTAGGAATAAATCTTAGCTAAGCTACGACACGTTCGTGATTAATTGCTTTTTCTTTTGTTATGCATTGTTTTAATTAGGCACAGAGGTGAAAATATGCGATTTTGACTAAAATTTTTGATCGGCCTCGTACATGCTTATTTTTTCTCCACTTGGTATGAAAAGCATGTCATTCAATAGCTAAAAGCTTGATCTTTCCAAATATGAAAACCAATTGTTCATACGCCGAGTGATTCACGTATAATAGCGCGCTGAAGTTCGATTACCTTTTTTTTGATACACCCTGTATAAAAAAAAGTTCAAAATTATTTTTCTTTTACTTTCCTTACACTGTACCTCTGATAGGCCCTGTCAACTTATAATTTTCCATATTGTAAAGTCTCTGCACGAATTTTTTTTTTCAAGCATTTCTGGTGCACGAATTTTTTTTTCTGTTTCCCCTGCTCGATTTTTATTTTTGCCCCCCCCCCCATCACTTTCCTAATGGTCCGCCCCTTACGTTTTCAAGCTATATTGAAAGTAACATATTATGTCGACTGTAACACAGTTTAATAATCATATATAACATTACGTTTTCAAACTATATTCATATTATAGCCATAGCGACAGGTCATGCTATGCAATTAATGCAAATTTTTAATGATTAGCATAGGCGTACGGGGCTGATGCTTTCCGGGGCAGTTGAAAGTTTGCCCGAATTTTTATGGAGGATTGCAATGAAATAACCAGAATTTAACATATACTCTGATAAATCTGCACGAATTTTCTTGCCTGAATTTCCATGGTTTTCTGAAATTTTGGGGGGCAGTTGGCCCCCAACCCCTGTCTCGTACGCCTATGATGATTAGCATTATTCAAACTTTCAGAAATGTATACAGTAGTCTATTCAGATGCAGGTTTATTAGCATTGCATCAACCAGTTGCCATGACTATAGCTTCCCCCCTTACTTACTGCAATACATAAAGTTTATGAATATTAAAGATAGTTCTTTCGCCATATTGAATAAGCATGGTGAACAAGATTTTCATCGACAGAAGGAAAGTAATCCCGATATGCTTTCAATATTTCATCATTTGACTGCAATTTTATATTCTTCAACTTCCGATCTTCTTGCTCGAGAAACAAATTATTTCCCATCATCAAATGAGCCTTACCACCAGGAAACCTTGATATTCGAGGTATCATATTGTTTGGACCGTAGCGCACATCAAAATAATTCCCAAGTGTTTTTAAGGTTTTCTGTTCAAAATCCTCAAGAGAGAATTCATAGAAACGCCTCCATTTTCCTAGAATGAGGTCAAGGCCTTCTATTGGTGGATCGTTACGCTTGATCAGGTCACCCTCGCCATGCATGCGAAGAATCTTACCATCACGCTTGATGTATTTATACTCAAGATACGACTCCTGGTAAACTGGCGACTCCTCGTTAAAATTTAATGAAATGGTTTGAAACGAAGGCTGGCCTAACCCGCAGTCGACAAGGTGGATGTCACCAGTGTTAACAAGATCTTTAACGATGACAGTAAGGTGGATGTTGAGGACTGTACTTGTTACAGTAGTTCCACATAGATGGGCAGAGTATCCGAGAGCTTTCAACAGACGGTATGCAAACACACTTAGCAAACCACAGCTTCCACCCAGCCCAGACATACATACTTTATCAATTTGTTCCAAACTTGGTATCTCACGCTCATTTGGAGGTAACGATGCAAGTGTGAATGCAGTCAATAGTTGGAATGGAACTCTTTCATAAATAGTTTGTATCAGTTTGTTTAAAAACCTTTCTCGGTCAGTCTTTACTTGCGATTCAACATCATTCATTTTCCAAGAATTTTGAAGGAATTGTATTGTCTCTTCCTTTCTCATCGTGTCAACTGAAATTAAGGGCATTAATGGATTAACAAGAGTTAATTGTATATACAGATTGATTAACAAATTGCGTCTGTAGATGTATCGTTATACCAAAATTGGACGCCCTCTTTCAGGACCCTGGCTAAAAGCCTGCATTAATGGTATTTTCCTGTGCACATGAAAAAAATAGCTAGACCATTAATGGTAAATATTAAACATGGTTTTGACTAATTTACCATATGGGAATCTATAATGACCAATAATGATAACAAATCAGTTTTTTCATTCAAAACCCATGAATGGAAAGTTCAGAGCCCTGGCACGCAATTTGTTAATCAATCTGTATATACAATTAACTCTTGTCAATCCATTAATGCCCTTAATTTCAGTTGACACGATGAGAAAGGAAGAGGCAATACAATTCCTTCAAAATTCTTGGAAAATGAATGATGTTGAATCGCAAGTAAAGACTGACCGAGCAAGGTTTTTAAACAAACTGATACCAACTTTTTATGAAAGAGTTCCATTCCAACTATTGACTGCATTCACACTTGCATCGTTACCTCCAAATGAGCGTGAGATACCAAGTTTGGAACAAATTGATAAAGTATGTATGTCTGGGCTGGGTGGAAGCTGTGGTTTGCTAAGTGTGTTTGCATACCGTCTGTTGAAAGCTCTCGGATACTCTGCCCATCTATGTGGAACTACTGTAACAAGTACAGTCATCAACATCCACCTTACTGTCATCGTCAAAAATCTCGTTAACACTGGTGACATCCACCTTGTCGACTGCGGGTTAGGCCAGCCATCGTTTCAAACAATTTCATTAAATTTTAACGAGGAGTCGCCAGTTTACCAGGAGTCATACCTTGAGTATAAATACATCAAGCGTGATGGTAAGATTCTTCGCATGCATGGTAAGGGTGACCTAGTCAAGCGTAACGATCCACCAATAGAAGGTCTTGACCTCATTCTAGGAAAATGGAGGCGTTTCTATGAATTTTCTCTTGAGGATTTTGAACAGAACACCTTAAAAACACTTGGGAATTATTTTGATGTGCGCTACGGTCCAAAAAATATGATACCTCGAATATCAAGGTTTCCTGGTGGTAAGGCTCATTTGATGATGGGAAATAATTTGTTTCTCGAGCAAGAAGATCGGAAGCTGAAGAATATAAAATTGCAGTCAAATGATGAAATATTGAAAGCATACCGGGATTACTTTCCTTCTGTCGATGAAAATCTTGTTCACCATGCTTATTCAATATGGCGAAAGAATTAACTATCTTTAATATTCATAAACTTTATGTATTGCAGTAAGTAAGGGGGGAAGCTATAGTCATGGCAACTGGTTGATGCAATGCTAATAAACCTGCATCTGAATAGACTACTGTATACATTTCTGAAAGTTTGAATAATGCTAATCATCATAGGCGTACGAGACAGGGGTTGGGGGCCAACTGCCCCCCAAAATTT